AACAGTATAACAGTTTAAACATTATATCACACGTCATTAAAGGTGCAACTGATGATGTTTTATTTAATAAAATATATAAATAAATGAATTGAATTTTTGCCCCAAGCTCCTTGTGGCGTCCCCCTAGGCCCTGCAGCCCTGGGCAGTCAGCCATTTCGCCTTCATCCATTATCAAGCACATATTTTATATCAACTTTACGTATATTTGGAATGCATGCAGCCGGACAGGGTCTCACCTCTTGACCCTGATGATCTGGTCCCTCATGGGCTTGATGTCCTGAAAACTTTGCTGGTTCACCAGACTGTAGACCAGGATGAAGCCCTGGCCGTTTCTGATGTAAAGGTCCCTCATGGAGGCGAACTGCTCGGTCCCCGCCGTGTCCAGGATCTCCAGCACCGACGGAGAAGAGTCCACCTCGATCTCCTTCCTGTAGAAATCTTCAATGGTCGGGTCGTACTTCTCTATGAACGTCCCGGTGACGAACTGGACCGTCAGCGCGGACTTGCCCACCCCGCCGCTGCCCAGCACCACCACCTTGTACTCCCGCATCGCCTACCGCTCCTCTAGAGTCAAACCCGGCGTGCAGAGGAGAAAGAAGAAACGCATCCCCTCGCACAGGAGCCTGCAGCCAGCCTCCGGAAGACGAGATGCTCCCCACAGCTACACAGGAATGGATGCTGGAGCAGCCTCTCTACTGAGATATTCCCACGCTACCTCGAAGGGACACCATTCCAGAGGCATCCATAATGCAATAAGGCGGCGGTGGGGTAAAAATAAGAGCGGCTATTATTAGAAACATCTAGACGGCTCATTTTTTTTAATGCGCCGACAAAACAGAGAGCCAGCGCTACATTTCCCTGCACCGCGGGGTTCGGCGGAGTTAAAGGCAACGAGCAGATGTAGCCTTAAGACGACAGTGGAGCTGGGAATCCACGCCTCTGGAGTCGGCGCATCCTCTGGATGCGACCATTTCCTGGAAGATATGGAGGGCGATTAGTGCCACTGTTTAACAGGGAGGGAGGAGGGGCAATTCTGGAATAACGTCACATATTTGATTTATATCTTAAAATTATACATTAACAACAGCAATCTTTTTAATTTAATTACTGAGCATTTTTTTTATTTTGTTTTTTAAGCTGTTGCTATGTGGTGAAGGTATGGTATGAGACAGATAATCTGTGAAAAAAATAGAGATCCTTTGCCTTCTCCCAGTGCTAACTAGAAACAACCAATCAGAGGCAGGAAGCAGGCCTTAGTGTTGTCAATCACAATCTCCTGTGGCGCTGCTCATCCCCCCTCCAGATTCTGTTGTGAATGGTCAGGCTACTTAGAATATCCACCAATGAACGGTTTCCCGGTAAATTGTTTCTCCACCATTTAGCAGCTACATGAGATTTATTGACAGCGCTAAGACCCGCCTCCTGGCTCCGATTGGTCGTTTTTGATCAGATTTCATCAATAGTAGCTCAGGCAGTAGATGGAGATCGATTTTTCCATTGATCATCTGTCTCATAACACACCGATATACGTTACCGGTTTCAGTCTTCATTACCTTAACCATGTCTCTGAGCGCCGAACGCCTTGTACTTGGTGCTCCAGGCAGGTTGCAGCATTAGAGGAGAACAAGTTGATGGTGTCTTCACTTTTGATTCCTCTCTATTCCTCAACACATTTCTTGGAACCCTGTTGACTCTTTGCGACAGAACATTAGATACAGAGCACACAAGTGGAAATTTTATAACTGGGCAAAGAATATCTAGAAATAGGTAAACTCCTTAAAAATCTGAGCAAATTTCGTTGCCTTTAATGACAGAGTGAAAGTGACAATTAGTCTTATTATTACGCTCCTTTATTTTAGTTGCAACTTGACATTTTTTTAAATATTGGGAGTTTATTGAAGGAGATCATTGAAGGTTACTGCTGAGGTAAAAAGTGCTGCAAATGTATAAAACACTATTTTTACAAATTAAGTTAATTAGTAACCCCTCATAGGAAATCTATTTTTGTTTTTATTTTGCTCTACTAAAGTCACAGGAAATGACGCCAAAATAAAAAGAAATTATGCAAAAATCTTACTTGTACTAGTCTTTGGCTTCTTCATGTCTTAAAATATGTCATAAAAACATAACTGATTAACTCTCTGCCTTTCCCAAATCCATGCAGTTCTGAATCCACTCAATGCCCAACGTTTAGTTTTTATGGCGGTGGGAGTTTGGGTCCAACTGTGGCGCTTCAGGGAAAATGGCAGAACAGATTCCAGAGAAAAGACGTTGGAACCCTGCTGGTTTCATATGTTTCTAGTTTTCTTTAAAAACATCTTTTTATTTCTAGTTTTCTTTAAAAATATCTTTTTATTAAATGTATAAACACACACACACACACACACACACACAAACAGGGCAAAACAAAGATAATTTCATTTTCTTTATTTCGTTCTCTCAATAGATTTTACACTATCTCGCTGGAACCAAAGAAACAACTGACTATATAAACATAAAATAGCACAAAATATATGCAAAAGAATACATTTAAAAGGATTACATTAAAACTATGAATCCAAAGAGGGTCTTATTGTCAGTTTAACTGTGTAAAGGAGACTGCAACCCCGAGGTCTCTACTGTAGTGCCCTCTGCTGTCATAAGCTGTGAATTACAGCTTATGGCAACTGTAATAAGCTGTCATAAGCTTATTACAGCTTGTGTAATAAGCTTATTACATAAACTGTAATAAGCTTATGTATTACAGCTTATTACATAAGCTGTATTACATAAGCTGTAATACATAGCTTATTACATAAGCTGTATTGTAATAATACAGCTTATGTATTATGTATTACATAAGCTGTATTATGTAATACATAATTGCCTTACAATGGGATCCAACACGGCTACTACGTACTCTGGGAGACCAGTTCGGTTTGCAGTGCTCCCAGTTGGCTTCATGACACACACATTAAAACCTTTAAGGAAAATTAAAACGACCACCTCGGATATAAAGAATCACATTCGAAATGAAACTCCGGAAGGGATTTGAGAAGTGAGACCGTTCAAGTCGTTTTTAATAAATTTCAGAAGAGCTCTTAAAAACATAAAACCTCAAGCACGATGGACTCAAGATAAGGCAAAGTGTTTGGATAAGCTGAGTCTGCTCAGTTGACCAACTGCTCAGAAAGTGCTTACATTTCTCCTTTTTTTTTTGTCTTCCCCGTTCTCTTTTTTTTAAAACCATCAACGACAGCAAACCTTACGCCTCAAAGGGATCCCATACACAAGATTGCTGCAGACATATTTTTTTCTTTTGTTTCTCTTTAAAAACATTCAGTATGTTATCGTTTAGTAAGTAATGAAAAATATTTTCCCATGCAACAATATGTTGAATTAATTACTGATGCCTTTGAAGTCTAAAGGAAGTGGAAAAACAAACAAAAAAAAGTGCAATCCTAAAATCTACGGATAAATACGCTTCAAATAAAACGTCTCAGTGTGGAACTTAAAGGTCCTTTGTCAGGGGAGGAGTTTTACATCTGAACTTAATAATTTATAGAATATTTAGTTCTTACATATATATATATATTCATATTTATATGTAATCTATATAACATTGATGATTTTAAATCTAGAAGTGTTACAGTCAGTATAGAGGCTGTTATTTGCTAGTGAAAATATCAGGTCACTGTCATATTCTTGTTGAATAAGAAATGTTCATATCTTCTTTACAATCTACCTTGTGTACAGTGTTCTAGCAAAAAAAACAAAAGAACAAAACGAACAAAAATGAACTTAATGTCATTTACAAAAATACCAAACTTTAGTAACTGTAACATTTGGTTGCCACTGCAACAACTTAATATTGTTATGAAATACTATCATACTAGAGTGAAAAGTACATCTTTTTCAAAAAATTTTTTTCCTTTCACTTTTTTCGTTGGTAAAACGTCATCTATACAATAAACTTTTTCCTCCCACCCTCCTCAGTAACACAAGCAACTCTAGTACTACGCTGTGATCTTTTTCCAAATTTTTTTTTTCTTTTTAACCTCGACGAGAGGGCGAGAAAGATCCAGAAATGTTTCCAGTTCTGTCGCTGGGGGAGAGCTTTTCAAGCCTCCCCCCCCCGGCCCCCGCCGCAGCGTGACTCCTCATCTGCCGACTCGACGGAGGGCTTGGCCTTTAAAAAAAAAAAAAAAAAAAAAAAAGGTCCGTGCAGAAACGCTGCACAGCTCAATAAATTACATTCATCTCAAAACAGGATAGTTTACAACATCATTTCTGAGTAAAACCTCACCTAGAGTGACGCAAGATAAATTACAACAAAATAGGACAATTTACCACCTTTCACAAAAGGGTGAGTAGCAACCGATAAGGTAATAATGACCAGCAGCGCAACAAATACCATTTTAAATGTTATGAAAGAGTAATGGAAAAAAAATGTTAAGTTTGTGGGCCATTAATGTGACATTTTGCTAATAGCATAATTAGTTCTCACACTATTAGCATAGCATTAACTTCTGTAGACCCAATTGTTCCCTTTTAGTCACTTTTCATTTTTTAATTGCCGATATTTTTGTCAGTGTTATATGGAATTTTCCAAATAGAAACAGTTTGAATGATTGCTAAAAATCTCCACCTCACTTCCCCTTAAACCTCAAAAAGTTAAAAGTTACATCCTTACCCAAATTGGTTCCCATTTCATCTTATGTTAACTGTATATTTAAATAGCAATATACTTTATTTAGAATTTTCTGCCACAAAAAACAAATTCCTTATACACATTTTAAAAATTTAAGGGGTTATTATAATTTTTATTTTCATGGGAATACATATTCAGCCACTAGTTGGCAGCACAACAGATAAAGGGGTCTAAATGGAACCCATTTGTTGTACTTTGTTGTGCTATTGCATAGAAATAAATTATTGCAACACAAAATAGTCTAGTTCAAACCCTCACATCGCCCAAGTCATTCCACTCTGCACTACACAATTTATATAATTAAAAAAAATTTAATTTAATGAGAAAAATGTAAGAAATCGTTGAAAATGAACGCTTTCTGATTAGAGTCAAACTTAGCACTTATATCATTTTTATAGCAATTTTTTTTCTGTAGGGAACCTTTTAGGTGTCAAGAATCCTACGTTGGGAGTTTTCTTGTGGGGCGACAATACCTGCATAAACAGGACTACAATTATCGCAAATAAAGCCAATTTTTCCCAGTTGCTTTGTTATTCACTTATAAACACTTATGCTGGATGACATAAGGTGTTATGTTGGGTTATTGGCTCAAATGCATCACAACAATATTATGTTTAAAATGACCTAAATCCAGTTATTGGCCATTATTACATCATTGTTGCTACGGTGTACATACAGGTCACAAAGTGCATGAAAACAAAGTGTTTCGATTGTGGATTGTCAGTGTTGATCAAGCACCATGAGATTACATCAGAATTTTTGATCAAATGGAGAAAAACTTCAAGAAAAAAAGAAAAAGAAAAAAAGAAATCAAATCCAAATGATATTTTTCTTGTCTTGGCCTTGAAAAATGAACACTTGTTGCAGGAGGCGGAGGGTCAAACACACCTTGATAGTAGACACAACACAACTTCTTTAAATAAGTCTGAATACATTTTTCTAGAACCGTGAATAGAAACTGTCAAAATAACAGACACTTTACATACATTACACAGTTTACAATACGTTGTTTTTCTCACTCACTTTCCTCATGTAAACTACTGAAACCGATGTAAGAAACGACGGATACACCGTGAAACGTCACCAAACATTCTACAATGCTAGTTTTGATTTGTCGATCCTTGAAATTCTCTCCTTGCAGTGAAGTCACTTGTGATGTAAAATGAGCCGTTGCCGGGGAAGTTGTCCCCCAACCCTCACCCCGACCGGCAATGCGACGTGTAATGTCTTTCCCCGAAAAGAGTCCGTATGGATTTAACAGCCAGTGGGGGGGTTTTTTGTGACTCTTAGTGATCCACACCCTGGATGCTTTATGTGTCGTCGATGAGCTTCTTTTAATTTTTTTTTTTTGAGGCACTTCTACAAGTTTTCTAAAATGGAAACAGGATTATCGGTGATAGTAGGGTTGGACAGGACAACCGACGGTCACAGATAGCCCTCCAGTTCAAAGTTCAAGTCATCTTTTTGCTTGACGAGTGTCGTCAAATGCACCGTTTTCTTTGTTTTTTTTTTTTGTTGTTTTTTTTTTCAAACTTTTTGTTGTTGTTTGTTTTTATGTTTAGATTTAGCACTTAAGTCCCTCACATGTCCCCCGGTTCTAAAAAAAAAAAAAAAAAAAAAAATCCCCTTTTATCAGGCCTGGAGTTGCAAGTCCTCGCTTAAAGTCGCAGTCTGCCGGCAGACCATCAGTTTCCTGACAACGACACACACAACGCACACAGTCGCACGTACACACACAAAAGGCTTGGTATGACTGAAGCTAACCCCTCCAGCTTCTGTCGAGCCCTTGGCGCAGGCCCGAGTCTCGTCAAGCTTCTCCAGTCCGGACTGCATTGCGAACAAGCTGAACTCACGGCAAATAAAGGGCGAGCGGGTCGACTCTGCAGCGACGGGGGCGATGGCAAAAATAAAAACGGAACGAGCGCCTGGCGCTCTAATGGCGACAGATGTTTCCGGGCAGAAAATGTCAGGTGTCTGGGGCAGGCTATCGTTTGAAACAGCAAAGGGGACGTGAAGGTGTGGCTGTCGGGGTGAACGCTGCTCTGAAGTTCTAAAATAAATATCCAAGAGTTGATATTCCACTGTATCTATAGTGTGTCTGCACTGATACATAAGAATATTTGTGACTTTTTCATGTTCATATTCTGTTTTCTAGCAATACATACAGTATTTTATATATATATGTGGATATATATATATATATAATATATATGTGTGTATATCTTTTATTTTCAATGTGAATGTGTGTGTGTGTGTTACAGCGGCTCTGCAGTTCTGGTGGTTAAATTGAAGTGTTACACTCTTAGCATGCAGGTTGCTGGACCTCTATGGGAGAGGCAAGGTAGTATTTACAGAGGGGCTGTTTTGGGCTTCCTAGTGCAGCTTCGTGACACTCCGTTTCCCTGGTGACGCTCACTTCAGGATGATCTGCAAGCCAGAGACACAGAAATAACAAAGGAAGAGACCGCTTTAGTTTACATCGAAAAGTTCATGAGCTACAAAAGAAATCAAATATAACGTCATCTTAAGCTACCTGAAGCTCTTTTTCTCTAATTTCTACTTTAAATATTCTTCTTTTGTTTTAACTGCTTCCACATCACAACTCCTACAGTAGATGTGGTTAAGTTTTGATAGATAGCTGGCAGTCCTACTCTTATGCTTCAACATAAGAGTAGCTGAGGTATCGTCAATTACAACTTCATTAGATGAAGCAAACTATACATTCGAATAAAATATATTGAAGTTGGTGCAAAATAGGGTGTCAAAATAGGGTGTGAATACATTTCGAAAGGCTAAAATAACCGACCTGCAACACTTGGGGGTGAGAGGGGAACAAACAAACAAGGAAAGACAGACAGAGATGAGAGAATCTTTGAAGGGGGTAAAGGTAGAGGAGCTGCAGGCTGCAGTCATGTTGGTGACCCAGGCAGAAAGCCAGTGCAGAACAAAGCACTGCATGGTTCCTGTTAGTGGACAGCATTCAGCCAGCAGGATGGAAGCCACTGATCCCATCACACACAACATAGGGACGGCACAGTGTGTGTGACGCGAACACTCCACAGCGCAGAAGGAAGCCGTTAAAAAAATAAAAAATAAAGTAGAAGCAGCAACAAAGTGGCTAGACACAGATGATGGTTTAGTTAATCGTTAAACAATCTCTATGTGTAGTGAAAATAGTCCGCCACTAGAGGGTGCTGCACCTTTAGAAAGCTCCTGCAGCAGTAGTGACGTTACCAGGGACACAGCAGTGGTAGCACATGGTTAAGATTATGCTCAGACATGGAGGGACGTGATTGGCTCCTTCACGTCGTGTCACGTTAACGGTTCGATGGTCGTGAGTTGACCAGACTCTGAACCTGTCGCGCTGTCTGCAACTATCTGACGTGTTTGCAGTAGTTACATTCAGCCTCAATTGTTCATTTTTCAAAGCATTTGAATCTTAAATATTTTCTGGCCTGAATGAGACGAGGTAGAAACCACCCAGATACTAAAAGGAGATTCAATCCAGCTGCTAGGGCTGTCAGGCAGTGAAAACGAATAAAAACCAGTCAGGGTTCTGGATTTGATAAAACCACATGACTGCGAGTGGAGTAAACAAGGTGAGGACTGGATGCAGGGCAGCTGATGATGAGGAGGATGATGATGATGTGCGCCCCTAACTGCTGGGTGGGAGGCAAACGGAGCCAGACAGCGAAGGGCTGACGTCACCCCTTTTTTCCAGCTCCTTGTCCCACATGCATCTTTAAAGAGTGGCTCTGCTTCCTGCTGCTACTGCTGCTGCATGCCAATTACAGGAAGAGACGGTGACTCACAGGAAGTGCGCGCGCGGCCAGCCTATGAGGAGCAATACGACGCTGGGTAATGGGTCTTTGATTGATGATGATGGAGAAACGGACAACACATTTCTGTTTGTGTTTTTTGAAAGCAAAATTGCTCCGCTCTCATCAGATGGGATAAAGGCACTGCTGTTAATTATTTGATTGTCAAAGATGGTTTTCTAAAACTTAGACGGGGGGGGGGAAACTCGAAGAAAAAGATAAAAAAAGAAAAAAAAAAGCACCTGACTGTTGCTGTTTAACATGTGGAGCACGTTGCTGCGTGTCCTCAAAGCACCTCTGCTTGGATCCAGCAGTAAATGACTGCCAGCTGTGTGAGCGAGGCCGGGGCGCTGCCACCGTTCCTGAAATTTCCAGGTTTAAAAATGGGGCCGTACATGCTTCACCCCGGCGGTCGGAGCTGTTCGTCTTTTCAGGAGGGCTGACGTTTGATCAGAGGCCATTTTTTCTCTGGTTATATTTTCCCTGGAACTGTTTTCTCATGATTTACCTCTCGCATCAACCTTACATTCAGGAAAAACAAAGAAGAAGCGTAACGAGTTAATCTAAAGTTGATTGAGCTTACTGACGATTAACTGAGACGCTCCCATTTCAAAGAGAAACAAAAATACTGAATTTTCTCTTGTATGAAGAGGGTTGAGTGTCTTTCCTTAACATAAAAGGATAATATTTTCATAATATTTTTAAGAAAAAAAAAACAGTCACTAGATTTTAACATTATTTTGTGTCAGCTATATTGTACTGACTGAATAAACAGAAAATTGTGGTTTTCTCACGTTTTCGTTTGGACCATTTCTCATTCCCGTTTTTGTATGTCCCCGCCATCTTTGTTTCTGTATCAACTGCCTCTGCTTAAAGCTGACCAGCGGAAGAAGGTCAAAGCGGACATTATTAGTTAACTGATTGGACCTCATTTTAATCTAATAATTCTATTTAATCATCAGTGGAGCCAGATATTTAGATACGATGTACAGAAATATCTTGTTTCAACTGTGGCTACTACTAAAAGCAAGCCGCAGGAATGTTTTTGTGCGTGTTTGCTCGAATGTCTGTGTCTGCGTTGCACACAAACGGTACAGATGACGTCCCAGCTGCGGATGGAAGTGGCCTCATCGTTTCAGACAACAAGAAAAGTGGAAAATAAAACATGCAAAACAAAACCAGGAAGTGGTGCAACATAACACAAGTACTACTTGCAAATGTGGGAGCTCTGAAGAAGTGCTTTTCATTAGGAGTGGGTTGTGGTCTTTACTGGAAAAAAGAGGCGCTACTCAGGTAGCGTCCCTCTGCTTTTAAACTGTGTGGAAAACACCCACTCACCGGCTTTCACCCTGTGCAGCCGCATGGATGACTGGAGCATGGCTAAAGCTGCAGGTTTTGTTGCAGCTCACTATCGGGAGGCAGTACTTATTCAGAGCTCCAGGGACTGATGAAAGAAAGCTTTAAAAGGAGCAAACCTGATTGGCTGGTGCTGTTGCTGCGTAGGGGACACTTGTGGCAGGAGTTGTTGCTGCAGAGACAGTAGCAGGCGTAGCACTGTACATCATTGGGACTTTGTTTTTGAGGAGGAAGGGGGAGGAAGGAGGGAAAGGAAGGGGTAGCAATGAACAGGTAGGTGGAGCATTATGGCAACCATGGCAACAGTCGTGGCGAGTGTCGACGGCAACATTTTGTCGATGGCGGTGGGAGGGAGAGAGAGAGAGAGAGAGAGAGAGAGAGAGAGAGCCATCGAGCCATCGTTAGGGTTACACCAGCAGATGGCATGCAACCATTCACAATGCAAAGCCAGGAGGACAGAAAGAGAGAAGGACAGCATGGGAGGATAAAAAACAAACAAAAACAAAAAAACAAGAGGAGAGAAGCTGATTACAATCACAAGTAAGGAAATTTATATGGAAAAAAAATCAGTTTTATGTCTTTCCCAGAGAAGTTAACAAGACGCATATTTTAAACCAGTTGGCCTGACCAAGTGAACAGCAGGAAGACGCCACATGGCTACTGCCAAGAATATGCAATTCTGTCAAAACATGGTAAAAGTTCTTATTTATAGTCAGCGCCTTGCAATTAATATTTGACTTTTTCACATTTCATCACATTCCAACGCCAAATTGGGATTTAATGCGAGACCAACCCACAGTAGGGCTTAACTGCGACGCTCTAGAGGTGCAAATACTTTTGCAAGGCGCTGTAGCTCCGCTTTGATGACTGCGTTTCCAGTTCTGTGGAATCTCTCTGGGAAACTGATTTAAATTTCCTGGTTAACACGGCACGGCAAAACAGAAGCCATATTAGAGCTCAGGAGTCAGCACTTTAATCGTAAACAAAAACAGTCGTTAGCAACAGAGTCAGTCGGTGGGGAAATAAGAGCTTGGAGCTGCAGCTCCTTCAGGTGATGCAAACTTAGCTTCAATAAATATCCAGAAATGCTTCAGAAAATATCTTAAGGGATTTTTCGTCTCACCTGTAAGGGCTGCAGACCATAAATCAACCTAAATGCATGTGTGTGTGTGTGTGTGTGTGTGTGTGAGTGAGAGAAAGAGAGAGAGAGCAGCGTCAGGACCTACCAAGACTGCTAGCAGGGGTCATGCACAACACTGACCCTGTTGTGTTTAAGCAGAGAACGACAGACAGAGAGAGAGAGAAAACGGAAGAAATGGGTTAATTGAGGAGGAGGAGAACAACAAAGTTAGACAAGACAAAAACAAAAAGCATCAGTCAGCTCAGATGCTACCGTTACAGCCGTGACGCCAGCTAATAAAGGAAGCAGTCAACAAAAGCAAGCAGTGGCGTTCTTCACTCGGAGCTCTGCATTAGTGGGCGGAGCTGCAACTAAACCCAGGCTGGAGGACACCAACCAGGAGCGGCGCGGAGTTTAACTTCAGGCAAGGCGCTGCGAATGCGTGCAAAGTTCAGCTTAGGTTCAGTTCTGTAGGTTCTGCTTTTCTGTTTTTGCAGTAATTAACGGTAAACTTTTGCAGGATCCCCCTGTGGCAACTGAGCACTGCGACTGAGCCGACTTGCTTAACCGAGGGGCGGGTCGTCTCAACGGAATGCAGAGATGGAAATTTCAGGTCAAACGAGGGGAAGGAAAAGTAAAACTAAAGGGGGGAGCAAAACGGCAGCATCATGCAGAGCAAAAAGCACAGCTTTCCGTCCGGTTCTGGATTAAACTGAGATACTTTTCACACAGTTTCAGATCTTGTGAAAAAAATTTTTTTCCTCTAGATTTTGGACAAACCCCACCGATATGAAAGCTTAAACATTTATAGTTTCAATGAATTAAAGCTTAAAAATATAAGATCCCTAGGGATTAGATTATGCATACTGCTTGGCAAAAAACAGTTATTTTTTTTACATTCTGTGTTGTTAGAGCTAAATACTTAAACATGTCTTATTAGGGAATTAATGTAACAGACAGACATTGTGCAAACCCTAAAGGAAGAGAAGTTTACTTTCAGCTCTTCATTAAAAACTAATGTTTCTCCTACCTGAGCTGTGGACAAAATAATTTCACAAAAAAGATGACTTCTGCTTTGTGTTGGCTTACCAACAAAACAAAAATGCAGAGAGAAAACAGGGCTAGGAATAATTTTGCAAGTTGTAAAGTTTTTAGTATCTTCTCAGGGTTGGAATGAAAAGGAAAACCTCAACTAATTTGGAAAAAAATTCAGACAAAATGGAGCCTAAAACATGGCACTTATCACGTTTTATAGACAGGAAGTGAATCAGAGCTGCTCCACACGACAACAAACAGACTTCCTTTGTTGCCGTGAAGCCTCCAAAAGATGGGTTTGTGATTAATCTGATCGCCAAGACCTGTCTGCAGCTGTGTGCCACGTGCATGAAGTGATCGACCTTACCTGTGGGAAAGAAAGCGGGCTGCTGGAGCTGTGCGTTGGCCAGCGCCTGCTGGTAGTGCAAAACACTGGGGTTGAACAGAGAGCTGGCTCCGTTGCTCTTCTCAAGTGCTGGTCTCTTTGGTAGCGGCTGGAGGACGCCGTGGGGGAACGCCTTGACACACACACGCAAACAGAAGCACAAGATTTGAGCTCCGCACTCACTTGAATCGACACTAGAATTATTGTAAAAGTGTTATTTTTCTCTATGCACGGCACAAAAAAGAAAACCAGAAAAGAACGGCAAGAAATGGAAACACATTAAAGAAAGCTGGAATTATTTTAGCTTTACGTTCGTTGCTACAAAAACACAATCTAGAAATGCCACAGGTAAGGTTTACACATTAAAAAAAAAGTGTCTTACTGGGTTTCACAACAACAAAAGAGCCAAATTAAATTCTGTGAGTAGCTACAAGTACAATTAAAGAAGCTACATGCAAAGCAAAAGGTGAAAGGTCCAAGTACCAGGTCTACAGTTGCCTCGAGGGGTCGCTTCATTGCTTTGGCAGTCGACTGAGTCTTTAATTAGCAGGCAGCGAGCACATGATGGCAGTGGGCCAATGGGAGTCAAGCGTATTAACATACAGGTAACAGCAAGCAGAGGTGCATCATGGGGGACAGCATTGCATTGTGGATAGGTGAGAAGGAAAAAAAACAAAAACAAAAATAATCTGAATGCCAGTATACCACATACAAAACAATAGGCATGCACATAAACAAAAAAATTGCTTTCATTTAACTGTAAAGAAACATAGCTACTATATTAATTAGTACAAAAGCAAAAAAAAAAAAAAAAGAAAAAACAAAATAAGGCAGCTATAATATTAGATCCTACGACTAACACAGCTGTTTATCTATTTGATATTGACGCATGTGAAAATTTTAGATAAGAGATTAGCGCAATTGTAGCAGTTCTGACCAAAACGAGAAAAAAAAAAAAAAAAAAACCAGCTCAACGTTGGGAAAAAAATTACACAAGTTGGAGTTTAATAACAGAATGTGGAGCTCTGTTTATTCCAAATGTTTACGTGGGGTAAAAATTTAGACATTAACATGAATAAATGCTGACTAATTTACCTGAATGCTGCGAAAACAAAACAAAACAAAACAAAACAAAACAAAACACATGAATATGACGCTCCATGCACAAGCCTCTTGCTTGATGTATGTGGATTTATTTTCCCTCACTTGTGCAACTGTTTCTCGTTGTTAACAAACAATGCATTGCTGATGCGCTGCGGTGTTAACAGACTTCAAAACACTGGTTAGTTCAAATGAAAGATGGTCTATTGATTGAAAAGTGACATGAAAAGCAAAGATGGCTGCGCTTGACTTGCAATGAGGAAGGAGGTCACAGCATGGCAAACAACACATAACGTGGCACAGCAACAAAAAAAAAAAACAAAAAAAAAAAAAACGACTCACTGCAACTGCGTCGGTCGGAGTGCGATATTGTCTAGTGGACACGTTTGGGAGTTAAAGGTACTGATCTTTCCCTATTTTTAGCGGCGCATCTGCGCAGGTTTTATGGATCTGCTGCGATAAAAGTGCCGCAGCTCAGGCGGAGGAGGGCTCAAAGACAATTGGATTAAAGATGCTGACTTGGCAACTTGTCCCGAGGTTAACCCTCTTCACCTCTAGCGCAGGTCGGAACAGCTGAAGGTAGTTTGGGAATTGGGTCATAAAGATGATAAACTGAAGCGTGCGAGGGCCGCATATACAGAGATTGCGAAGCAGGGGGGGAACAGAAACTCGCTTTTCTTTTACTGCTACAGCCGCAAACTTCAGCGTATTTTATCGAAGCTTTATGTGATCGACAGCAAGTGGAAAAAAAATGACGATTTCCATTGTTTTTTTAGAATTAAAAAAAAATCCAAAAACGGAGGATTTCAGCTATATTCTGCCGTCCTGAGTCAATACTTTGTGGAGCCTCCATCAATCTAGAGACTGAAATCATTTCAGATTTTTATTTGCATTGAAATCTGGGAAAAAAAATGTACTGAAGATCTGATGTTCTTCTGTTGAGAAGTCGAACCTCCAGTCTCGTCATAAGACAACCTCCACAGCATGACGCTGCCACTAACGTGTTTCACTGAAGGTATGGAATAGTTTTTTTTTTTTTTTGGAAGTTGTTGTCTTTCTAGCCACACTATGGCGTCATATAATGGTCATTGTAGATAGAAAAAACAGGAGGTGTAAATTTCTGCCAAAAACCTAAAAAAAATCTCAGATGTTTTCTAGAAAAAAAAAACAAGTAAATGTGAGCTCTGAAAGACAAAAATTTACCTGCAAAAAACCCATAAGTATTGTTATTATTATCAGAATTTTTCCAGGAAACAACTAGGACATTTCTGAAGAATCTGAAGCTCAGAAAATTTCCAAAAGTTGAACATGTTCAAGCTTTTCCATTTTTTTCTACATAATTTCTCAGATTAATCTCAAAATTTCGGAAATCTACTCCTTCGTTTTTTACACCAACTATGGCCCTAATACGCTAATAGTACACACCATGTATCACTTTTCTTCTGCTTTAAAGTGAGTGAGTTAATGTAAAGCAAAAAGCTGTCCACCGAAGTGTTTAAATACGGCTTTCTGTCTTCTACCGGCTTGTAAAGGAAAGAGAAGGAGAGCAAGCAGCGATGGAGTCAGCCAATGAGAGCTGCAGTGTGCGCAAGGCGTAAAGCATGCCCATGCCACGGAGGAAAAGAAAATCAGTCAGTCAGCACACTGGCGCAGTGTAAGGTGTGCAGGTGCAGCAGCCAGCGGACCAATCAAAACAAGCCACTCGATGCCTTGGGGAAGACGGGGAACGGACAAAACTGTACGCGGCGCTCAAGAGTTTTAACATCCTCATCTCCCTTCTCCCCACCGATCGGCGGCGGATGACTCAACCCAACGGAGGGTAAAACTCCCGCCACGTCATGCTACATCCAACCCTGATTCAATTTGCAACCGATCTGCAGAGAGCCGCACTTATCACCGAGAGCAGCAAAGTGGGATGGGGGGGGGGTTGAGCCGACGCATTGTCTCCGTGCGAACCAAGGGCGTTGGGAAATAAAAGGAGGCTGCAGTGAAATAATAACAGATTGTTCTTGCGGCGTCAACGCTGATCTGTTTAGGTCTCGCTAAACCCCGTTTGTCGCATCCAACCGCCCCTCTTCGGGATGACTATTGTCGGTGAATTGTTCTCTAGAGTCCACTAGAATCAATCAGCAGAGGACAGTAATAAAGCAGGGCTCCACATTGCATGTTGAGGGGGATCTGTTACAGTAAGCGAGAGGTGTTTGGAATCTTTCTAAGTCAAGATTATTTGGAATGATGAGATTATTCGCAAATGGTGAAAACTTTCAGAATTTTTTTTTTTTTTACAGTGCGCCACTAAAAGTTATAAAGCTAGAAAAAGGAGACCTAAGCATATTGATTAAAAGCATCACTGAAAAAAGGTAAAAGTGTGCATTTCCTGCTCTGCCTGAGGTAAAAGTGGGTGGCCAGTAGGGCGGCGCTCTCACCATGGCTGCAGCCGTGGCTGCAGCTTGTGCGGCCACGGCCGTCTGGTTGGCCTGGTGCTGGGCCGCCTTGATCTTGGCCTGCAGGTGGGCCGGGGGGTGGAAGTACTTGCACTTCTCGCGGGAGCAGCGGCTCTTGATGTAGTCCATGCACACGGTGACCGTGTTATCGCTGGTGTCGATCATGGGGCTGTCGCTCGGGTGGGCGAAGCGGCAGTCCGTCTCGCCGCGGGCGCAGTTGCCCCGCTGGAACTCACGGCAGACCTGGCATTACAGGGAAACGAAAAAAGAGACAATTAAAAGTCAATGTCACAATAATTTTTTAACATTTATTGCAATGAATTTGAAACTGTGCCATTTGTTTTGCTTCTGTAAGCAATTTCACTTTTTCAGGTTTGTCTGTTAGCGCCTAAGCGTGTTGCGTTTACTGACCAGTAAAAGATCAGAGTTTTGTGCTTTAAATAATACAATTCCAGGCACCAGGTTGCTAAGAGACAACTTGTGCAAAACAGTTTCTTTTTATAGATAAAAAAAAAGTTAAGAATGAAACAATCAAAAGCCTCAAATAGCATCTAAAACTGAAGCAACTCGGAATCAAAAGTTTTAACGAGTCAAGCATCAGGATTGCAAATTGAAAGTGCAGTTTGCAATCCAAGTAGATTTTTTTTTTTCTGCCGCAATGACAAAATACATGAAAACACAAGATCAAACATGTCAGACATGTTCCTTAAATCAAGCAGAGCTGCTAAACCTGCTTCAATTAAAACACATATACAAATGTTAAACACACTCGTATTTACACATAAAGTACGCCTACGTGTTTTTTGCGCAAAAAAAGTTGCACACACATGAGCATGCGTTTGTCGGCCTGTGTGTAGGAGTGCACACGTGTCTCAGAGGGATACGGCTTAATTAAAGCCAGCTCCATTCAGTTACTAAGTGATGGCACTCCTGCTGAAAAACACATACAGGCACACGCCCACGCGTCACCTTCAGGTCTTAGGTAGATTACTGTTTATCTTGATAAATATGGTGCAGAAAAAGAAAAAAAAAAAAACGTCCTCCTCATGGATTCTTTCACAATCCCAGTTATTGTTTGCCAAGAGGGCAGATGGAGACATTCGGAGTTGGTTTTCAGCATCCCAGTTCGACTGCGGCTGTCTAGCAAACTACCACTTTGAGTGGAGTTAATTCCAGTTTGAATCACTGTGAATTATCATTCCTCATTTTCACATCACGGCTCTGAAAGAAGTCGAATTATTCAAAGAAACGTATGTTCAAGGGATGCTGGAGTTTGTACTAACTTAAGCACTGACTTGTTTAGCAACAACAACAAAAGAAACCCCGAAAACATTTTGTTCGGGTCACCTCCAGTTTGTCGGCACGCAGGAGTTTCTGGTTGGAGGAGGAACCTGCCGTCACTGACACGGGTGGGCTGCCGGGGACGATGACGGGAGTGCTGGGCAGGATGTCTGTGGGGACCAGGCCCATGCTGTGGGACATCGGGGTCAGGTAAGGCGTGTAGCTCAAGCCTGCGCTGGATCCAAGGCCCTGGCTGACCGGAAACGTCTGCTGAAGACGGAGACAAGATCAGAGGTTTCTCTTTGCAGCGTTCGAGTAAAATGCAAAGGCGCTGAAGAACGATGAGAAGAAAGAGAGAAAAGAGACGAGGAGAAAGCTGAAACCTGATATTTACTGTACAGAAAAGAAGATCGAACTCTTTGTTTTTTTTTTGTTCTTTTTTTTTTTTTACTGTCTGACATTAAGCAGGTCAAAAATGATTTCTTGTTTGCTAAATGTCAGAATAATGAGCGAGGTTTTGCTAATTACTTATATTGATGTCGTGGCTTTTAAGCTTCTCATCGGGTAACTCACAACAACCATGATTTTAAACAAGAACTTCTTTCTTGGGGGGGAAAGGGGGTAGCAATAATAGCAATCTGCCAAAATATTAGGAAATGTTAAAAGTTTATTCTGATTTAATGTCCTTCAGTGAAAAATATCAGGTACAGCTGTACAGAGCTGTGGTTGAGGAAGATGAGAGGAAAGGCGGGGGAGGGGGTGATTGATGACGGGTAGAAAGATGGCCAGAGTAAAGGAGAGGGGTATGTTTCAAAGAGGACGCAGTAAGAGCGGAAAGTGAGTAAAAAGGTTGCTTTTTTTTTTTTTTTTTTAGTTTTTTTCAACCTCTGTACATCCTGGAAAGATTTTGCTGAGCAGGCATGTTCTGTTTTAGTCACGCCTGGGTGTACACAGATGCAGCTGAACACATCCACACCTGGCAGAGCAGCTCCCAGCATTAAAGCAACAATATTTCTAATGGCTTTTGAGCCTGACAGCAGGAGTCAGTGTGTGTCATTCTTTCTTTCTTTTTCATCCCCCCCTCCTGCACTGACCACGGGCTGCATGGTTGTTCCGGGGATCATGAACTGCATCTGCTGAGCCAACATGGCGGCCGCCGTCTTCTGCTGGATCAGGTTGTTCCGGCCGTTGATCTCCAGCTGGGTCTTCAGGTGAGCCGGAGGGTGGAGGTATTTGCAGTTCTCTCGCGTGCAGCGTCCCTGAGAACAAAGAACACGCAAAAAAAAAAAAGTTGGAAAGATTTTCAAAACAGAACCTAAAGCGTTATGCAAATGGCGAGCGCGAAAAGACCACAAGAAGCAACTTTGTGTCAATCCTGCGGAACAGAAGCTTCTGGTCTCTGTAAAGAAGCATTTTTTTTTCTGATTTTAAAAGATAAAAAAAAAAAAACAGCGCTTGATTTGCCAGCTTGTTATTTCTGCTTGGTGTTGGTCGCGCTTTCATCAAAAACACGCCGCCCACCAAGTCGTAGGGGCGGACGGGGAAAAATGAGGACGAAAAGAAGGATGAAGGCTGGAGCTCTTGTTCTTGTCGATCTCGGAAATTCATCTGAAAGTCAGACAGATGTGGTCGCACGGACGGTCGGCCTCGCCGAAATCCCGCCGGACAAACACAATTAGTCTGCCAAAGCAGAGGCCAGTGTCTAACACACGACGATCCACCACCACGGGGGAGCTAAATGCAAGAATGAGAGAGGCTGACCTGAGGGAAGATGGGAAGGAAATCTGGGTGCAGGCATGCAGAGTGGACTGATATGGATTAGACACAAGACAGAGCGGGAGAGGACACGACATGGCAGGCATGACACGGCGGGTCTCGGCTAATGTGAAAAAGGGAAAAGGGAAGCGGCGATAAATTAGAATCAGTGTAGCGTGAGGAGGTCTGCTGCTCTGTCTAAATAGCTCTTAACTCCGTGACACAGAGCAGCTTCAGCACCGTGTCCCAATTAGCAACATCCCCTCTCATCGCAATCCCGCTAATTTCCTCTTATGAGGAAATATGACAGGCCTGCCCAGTGTCAACACTCTGATCGGTAATGGCTGAGTTTAATTACTCGCGAGCGTGTGTGTCCATGTGTGTGTCCTGAACGCGTCACATAAAACAACAGGATACAAAAGAAGTTCTCGCAATTTATTTATTTACCTGATAACCACCAAAATAGGACGATTTGTGATTCATGCCACACTTAGATTTAGGTCTGGGCTTTGACTAGGCCATAAATAAACTATGATACAAACATTCAGGAGCTACCTTTCCGATCCACCTCAACGCTTGTTCTGGCAAAAATCAAATGTATTTGGAGCCGCAAAACGCACAAAAAAAGATAACATGATTTTCATTATAATTTTTGCTCATGTTGAGAAAATATGTTTTACTTTTTAAATTGAAGATGTTTGTTTTTATTTTCCAGCTCTATTCCAGTTTAAATTCGGCTTCAAATTCTATATTTAGGTCGTAAAAACAAAGAAAAATATAAAAAAAAAACATTATAAATACACTTTATTCAATGGAACAATCCTTATTTATGCAAAAATGGTGTCAAGAAAGAATTGTGTATAAATAGAGAAGGGAAATTAAATGTCATGAAGGCAGGAAGTGTTCCAGTAGCAGTCAGCCTTCCAGTTAACCTGAAGAAGCCTCCGACTGACTTTTGCAGCCTCACAAGTTTTTCTTCAGATTGTCACTATTAGCAAATTCATTTTCCATTCCAAATCAGCCTCTAGTCACACCGCTCTAGTCAGGTCGCAGTAATTAGGGTTATATTAAAATGCAAATCACAGTTCTGTGGGACAACTCCAACTAGCGTTACGGACGCATCCCATGGGAGTTTGACGCAAAAATGAACAGCAGAATAATATGGATTATTTCTGTTCACATCTGGTAGCTCAGTAGTGCTGCGACAGGGATTTGGTGCTGATGCTCAACCTGCTCCAGAGCTTTGTTCTTTCCTCTACGATACGTGGGCAGACAAACAGAAAAAAATACTTTTAATCAACCACGGCTCTAGGTATAATCCTGTTTCGCAGTGCAAACAGCCAATGCTCTCCAAGTCTCGTCGAGGGGAGAAGTAATAAAAAACGGGCTTTCTTGTGCTGCAGGAGCGATATGAAAAGCAGCCCACAGAGCTTCAAACACCGTCGGCGACGTTACAGTAGCTTTTCACTTAAAAGGTCCGAACGTTAATGTTTCTACACCTGTGTGACCTATGAACTCTGCTGTAATGATGCTGAGGCAGCCTCAAAGACCAGATGTAAGAGCTGCAGTGAGCCACCGATGCGCTCACGCTCCTCCTTCATGCTTCGAGCACACACACAATCACACCTTCCCACACACGCGCATACCAAATCACTAGCAAGTCTCACACACACAATCATAGGCATGCGTGCGCACAGAAATCCGGAGCGTCTGCTCGGACTTCTTCAAAACAGAGGAATAAAGTCACCCGTTTAACCCGACAACTGAACGCAAAGAAAAAGAAGTAATAATTGGACCCTCATGATTTGCACCATGAAATGATGCGGTGGCCTCGCGCATCAGCGGGCACCAGGAAGAAAGCGTAGGCCGGCGCGAGTGTGCGGGGCGGGGGGGGGGGGGATCGCGTGGGAGGGTGTGAGAAAGGGGAGCCGGAGCCGGGTGCTGAAGCTCCGTTCTGGACGTCATCCCAGACCGAGGCTGCAGGGAAGCACGCCGTCGCCATGGCGCCCTGCAGAGATCAAAACAAACCCAAGACCCTCCTGATGAACTTAGGTAGACTCAGAAGGAAGGCAGCCACTCTTCGCTTTTGGCCTGTATTCTGTTTGTTTGCAGCCAGAGCAGGAGAGAGAGATGCTTCATGGAATTGCTTATCGTTTGAAGCAATGAAGTAAAACTGCGGTGAAGAGACTTGGGAGAGTGGTTCAAATCTCACTAAGTGCAGGCTTTTGCTTTTTTTTTTTTTTTTACCGGAAAACCACCTCGACTTCAAGTATTTGGTTTGACAGCCATCTCAAACTGCTCCGGTCTTTGCAGAAATTTCTATTGTTCCTCTCTTCCTTTGTCTCAGGGGCTGCCACTGTACTAATAATCTTAATGTTATATTATGAAAATCTGTGAATGGAGAAAAGCGTTGAGCTTCACTGCGTTTTATTTGGTTCTCATCAAGTCAAAGGTTAAGATGAAAAAAGAAAAAAAAAGACATATATGGACAATCTTTGGGCTGGATGTGTTTGCCAGTAAAATATTATAAAGAGAAAGCGCTCAAGTTTTTCTTAGTTAATGCCGTTTGTAAAGCTGTTTAACACACTGATCAAACTATCATATGCATACATCAAACATATTCCACTTTGGATGTAATTAAGTTAAATGTGTAAGAAAAGAAACAATACTCTAAATAAGGAATTTGCATATCAAATTCATTCTTAAATTGGCTAATTAAGTCATAATTAGAGAGCGAGCGTGCCTATTTGAAATCAGCAAATTGCCCCAAAACCTTCTATTTTCAGGAAATGAAGAACTATTTATGTATTATTACACAATCTGCCGCAGTCATTTTGTTTTCAAAGGATTTTTAGCATACTGCCCAAATAACCTATTACTATAATAACGTATTGCCAGAAAGCGATTATATTATTGGCCCAAAAACCTCATTACATTTTTGGCCAGTTATTATGTTATTGGCTTTAATATGTTTAAAATGGACCAAATTATTAAGCCACAGGCTGTTATTACATTATTGGTTGCTAAAGGGCGTAACTACGTTCAGATAAGCTCAAAAATTACTTGTTGCTATGGAGATTTATGATCACAAGATGCAATATGGTGGAGATTTTTGAAAATGTCTATTAGCATCATCTTCACTGTCATCAATGGCTGAAATAAATCTGGATTATTCTTTAAATCTTTTTAAACCTAACTGTAGATGTTAGTTAGTTAGTTAGTTAGTTAGTTAGTTAGTTAATTAGTTAGTTAGTTAGTTAGTTAGTTAGTTAATTAGTTAGTTAGTTCTTTACTCTTTTCCACTTTACAGAGTGTTTCAGTTTATTCACTCCCCAGGGAAACAAGAAGTCATGGATTACTGATTTTAAATAAATCTAAATAATTACTCTAAAATTTAATAAGTTACTGAGATTTGCAGGGTGTCATCATACAAATCAAATGTAAGTACAGACATTTAATAAATCTAAATATTATTAAACAGTCAATTTATTTTAGGAACTTTATCACTAGTAAAACCCATCATATAGATTTAATTACAAACTAATGAATAATTAAAAAGCCTTTACTTCTGTTAAATATACTTATTTTCCAATTACATTACTGAAAACATGACACTTAAAATACGAAAATTGTGTCACCCCAATAAAAAATAATAAAAAAAACAATACAAAAATGTGGGCTTTAAGAAAATCCTAAATTGCTTAAAGGTACTTTTAATAGGGCGCATATTCTAATTTCCTGAATAAGACAGTAACGTAGAACTTTTTCTTGACATTTAAAATGGTAGCAGGCATTTTATGATGAACTGCATAAATGAACACAGTGAAGAAAATCTAGGTTATGCAGGCACAGATAAAAGTGAAAACTCAAATGATAAATCTACAAAACCACAAACAAACTATAAAGCTATATTAAAAACCACCATAAACTCGTTCACGGTGCGCTCTGGCTTCAAGCAGCTGTTTATGAAAAGAACGGCTGAGAACACCTCAGCGGTTCACGCAGCCGCCTTAGGTGTAGTCATAGCTACAAGGTGAAATTACACCTTTTCACCGAGGACCTGCTCACGCGGCTGCTTATTATCGTAGGCATGACGGTGTCTCCCATGTGTGCGGACGCAATGATCCATGTTTTGGGATGGGTTAATAACTGCTGTGATTTAGATTGGATAATCACCCCCTTGCATGGCGGGGAGAAACAAACGTCAAGGAGGGAGTGATCAGAGACAAACGATCAGGTGCTTCCTGACAGGGAAAGCTGCTCACAACATCTAGCTCAGTTATCATTTAGAAAATCAACTCATACACACAATTTTGCTTATTTTTAGAACTTAAGAAAGTGACTTGTTTAATCTTTAAAGGGGGAATAAAATCTGGACAACATTTCTGCTACTGCCTGGTCCTTCACTAGTGTGTTCAAACACTGAATTTCTTAATAACCAGAATTCACTTTATATACAACGACAGATCTTTGCTGTCGGCTACTGCGGCGATTTAGATTTCGC